CTTGAAGACGTGAGCAGCGACTCACCGAAGCGTGTGCAGAGTCTGTTTGTCGCTTGAGTCAAAGCTAGCACAGCAGAAGACACGAGCTGAACGTGCCCCCTGACATGCCAGCTTTCCATATGCGAGGCACACCCAAATATGGTCTTGACAGCTGTACCCAGGGGTCATTTCGTAGAAAAAGAGGTGCAAGAGCTCATTAGCATAATTCATTAGTGTAACTTATTTGCATATGCCACACCCCCTGACATCACCGGAAGTGTGTCAGAAGGCAACACCCACCACTCAGGCTCCACTGGACTGTTTTGGATGGCTAGCTATTGGGGGGGGGGGTAGAACATGCAGATCTGTCCTCGCAGAGGAGGGACGGCTTGTACCTGAATAAACCTTGGTCTTAAAGGTGCCACTGGACTGTTTGGGATGCAAGTTACCTGGCTGCTTCTTGCTCTGACTGAGGGCTGCTGGGAGCAGGGGGTGGGGCTTGTTGCATGTGCCCACCCCCTGGGCTCTTTACTGCCGGAGCTCTGCTCCTGTGCGCTCCCGCAGGAATTGACCCCTGGCTGTACCACACAGTGGTGGCGGAAAGTGCCGTCAAATGGCAGCCAACTTATGGTGACCCCATAGGGTTTTCAAGGCAAGGGACGTTCAGAGGTGCCTGCCTCTGCGTACCAGCCCTGGACTTCCTTGGTGGTCTCCCATCCAAAGACCCGGGCCAACCTTGCTTTCCCAGGGGAGGGTGGCAAGCAGTGGGGTACCGCACGGATCAGTACTCAGTCTGATGCCTTTTAACTCGTTCATTCATGATTTGGAGTTGGGAGTAAGCAGCGGAGAGGCTAAATTTGCGGGTGACATGAAGTTGTTCAGGGTGGAGAAAAGCAGGGAGGATTGTGAGGCACTCCAAAGGGATCTGTCAAGGATGGGCGAGTGGGCATCGACGTGGCAAATGAGGTTCAATGTGGCCAAGTGCAAAGTGATACACACTGGGGCCAAAAATCCTAACTTTAAATACATGTTGATGGGGTCCATCCGAACTGGCAGAGACTGACCAAGAGAGAGATCTTGGAGTCGTAGTAGATAACTCACTGAAAGTGTCGAGACAGTGTGCGACTGCAATAAAAAAAGCCAACGCTATGCTGGGGATTATTAGGAAGGGAACTGAAAACAAATTGGCCAGTATCATAATGCCCCTGTATAAATCACTGGTGTGACCTCATTTGGAGTACTGTGTACAGTTCTGGTCAGCACACCTCAAAAAGGATATTATAGCATTGGGAAAAGTGCAGAAAAGGGCAACTCGAATGATCAAAGGGTTGGGACACTCTCCCTATGAGGAAAGGTTAAAGCGTTTGGGGTTCTTTAGCTTGGAGAAACGACGGCTGAGGGGTGACACGATCGAGGTTTACAAGATTATGCATGGGAAAGAGCAGGTAGAGAAAGAGGTACTTTTCTCCCTTTCTCACAATACAAGAACTCCTTGTGGGCACCCGATGAAATTGCTGAGCAGTCGGGTTAGAACATATAAAAGGAAGTCCTTCTTCACCCAAAGAGTGATTAACACTGGGAGTTCACCGCCACAGGAGGTGGTGGCAGCTATAAGCATTGACAGCTTCAAGAGGGAATTGGATAAGCATATGAAGCAGAGGTCTATCAGTGGCTATTACCCACAAGGTATAGATAGGGACTCTCAGGCTGGGGCAGGTGACGCTCTGGATTCTTGGTGCTTGGGGGGGGGGCAACAGTGGGAGGGCTTCTAGTGTCCTGGCCCCACTGCTGATGGCACCTGGTATTTCTGGCCACTGTGTGACAGAGTGTTGGACTGGATGGGCCATTGGCCTGATCCAACATTGGCTTCTCTTACGTTCTTATGACAAGATCAGGTTAGCATGGACCACCCGGAAGTGGTTTCCCATGGCCTGCCTCTGCGTAGCGACCCTGGACTTCCTCGGTGGTCTCCCATCTGAACCACAAGAGTTCCACACAGCACTGCCATCAGCTCTTCATCCCAGGGCCGCCTCATTCCCCCCAATGATACCCGCTCCGCTAGATAATAGTGGTGCGGTGACGGTCTAATGGTGGTGGCGGCTCCTACTCAAAAGCCTGGTGGAAGAGCTCCGTCTTGCAGGCCCTGCGGAATTGCGCAAGGTCCCGCAGGGCCCGAGTCTCTTCCAGGAGCTCATTCTTTTTTTTAAGCGCCCTTCACCCCGCAGCACTCGCACTTTATTGTATTGTCTAAGATTGTTTTATTCTGTTTTTAACTGTTTTAACGTTGGCATACGTGCCTCTTCTGCTAGCCGCCCTGAGCCCGCTCTGGGGAGGGCGGGGTATAAATTTAATAATAAATAAAATATAAAATGAATAAAACCCTGCAAAAGAACTAATCCTGCCTGGCAACGGGCGAAGGAAAACTTGGGAGATCTCTCAAGAGAATTTAATTCCCTGAAGACGGGATGATTCACTTTGGGGAAGAATCTCTTTGCTGTTGCTATTGTTGCGCTTAGCTCTTTCTTCCTTCTTCGGAGACCTGTGCCACATCATAGAATCACAGAGTTGGGAAGGGACCTCCAGGATCATCTAGTCCAACCCCATGCACAATGCAGGAAATTCACAACTACTCCCCCACACCCCCGGTGACCAATGCTCCCTCTAAGATGTGGAGTCTTGTGAGCAAAAATCCTACTTTGTGAGCTACTAGCATTAAAGTTGTGAGCAGGTGGATTTGGCTACTGCATAAATCAGTTTGCTCTGGAGCCCTCCTTCCTGAGCTAAGACAAAAATGTGTGAGCCGGAGGCTAAAAAACGGTGAGCTAGCTCACACTAACTCAGCTTAGAGGGAACACTGCTGGTCACCCCCTGCTCTATGCCCAGAAGAGGGCAAACACCCCCAGCCTTCCAGGGTCCTTGGCCAAACTGGCCTGGAGAAAAATTGCTTCCTGACCCCAAAGTGGCGATCTGCATGTCCCTGGGTGCTTAAGAAAGGGCCACGAGAAGAAGATGATGATGATGAGGAGACTGGATTTTTACCCCACCCTCTGCTACGCAAAGGCGTCTCAGAGCGACTTACAGTCTCCTTTCCCTTCCCCTCCCCACAACACTCCTCCCTGTGAGGTAGGTGGGGGGCTGAGAGAGCTCTCGAGGACTGCCCTTGAGAGAACAGCTCTGAGAGAACCTGTGACTGACCCAAGGTCACACCAGCAGCTGCATGTGGAGGAGTGGGGAATCAAACCCGGTTCTCCCAGATTAGAGTCTGCGCTCCTAACCACCACACCAAACATCACACAACACTCTTTGCTGAGATGGCTAGGATCTAGAACGGGGGTCCCCCAATGTGGCGTCCTTGGGCAGCAGGGTGCCCACCAACACCTTTCCTGGTGTTCGCCAAGTGTTTTTAGAAAGTGGGCAGGGCTGGTCGGGGCTTTTGCCCAGCAAGGCTTCTGATTGGTCACTGGAGATTTGATTGGCTGTGCAGATTTCTAAAAACCTTCCTTTGGCAGCAGCTACCCCAACAGCACAAGGCTCTTCACTATATGACTGAAGGTAAGCTGCGGCAGCCATTTTGTGGCTGGCTCCGCCTCCTTTGGCAGCCATTTTGTGGCTGCCCCCACCGTGCCGTGTCAGGATTCCAAAGGTGACCCGAGGCGTTAAAAAACTGGGGTCCCCAGACCTAGACCACCACACCTTTTATGGCTGTTTTGAAGACAGGACAACTAGATTGATTCCTATTTGCTCGTACATGTTCTCTTTGGAACAAATTAAAAAGGGGAGATTGATTTGAATCCACAAGAAACCAGTTTTAATGAAACCATATGGCAGCACCAGAGTTTGGGGTGAACCTCTTGTGGGAGGCTCCACGTGCCGGAGGAAGGCACCTCTGTTAATAGACCAAATCTGCAGAATCCCATTAATTGTTTCCAGTAACAGGAAGGGTGCAGTTCTTTGGTAAACCCGCGCAACCAGAAATCATACGTGTCATTGGAAGAAAAGCCCAGGGCTGCAGAATCAAAGGCTCCCTACCAAATGTCCCTTTCAAGACTTCCCTACTAGAAACAGCACCCTGACTGGAACACCACCAGACCTGGAAAATTCCTGTCCAAACGCTATAATTCCACTTATTCGTTCGTACGAGACCTCAGCATCTAGCACAGGCAATATTCAAGCACACCTGAAATGGAAACATATTTATTGACACGCCGATAAAATTTGCATTTATTTAAAAAAAACAAAACTCAACTCATTTGCTTTCGCTGTTTCTCCGTGCCTTGGAAAGCAGTTTCCCCACATCTTCATTTCTACAGATATGTACATCTTCAGTTTACCGTATTGAAGCAAAACCTATGGAGGAGAGCGATTTTTCTGCACGCGGGTGACCTGGCGATCCTATTGAAAGCTACGAAATGACCGCGCGAGGCTGAAAGAAATGGAGACGACGTGAACTGCAAAAAAATACACAGTTGATGGGTGGGGGAAGGAAGGAAGGGTTTACAGACTTCACAACAAAAAATTTTTTCCCCGACAGGTACGATTAGTTTACCAAGAACAGCCACTGACTAGATTGAAGAGCGTATAAATGCTGGTGTGTAGGAATACTGAGAAATCCCCCCTTCTGACACATCGGTACGGTCTAACTTATTTCACAAGTTGTGCGGGGCACAGACACAAGCGCACAAATGCTACCTTTTGTGTGTGTTTCGATGAGAGGACAACCAGATGGATTACAATTCGCTCGTACACGTTCTCATTGGAACAAATCAAAAAGGGGAGATCACGTTGAATCACGAGAAACCGGTTTTTAATGAAAGCGGGAACAAACGGATGTAGGAAACACCTTCACCAAACGTCCCAGATAATGTAGTGGGGAAAGAGAAGCTAAATACTCCCTCGACTAAGACAATTTCCGTGGATATCTAAAATTCAACCAGTTATCTGGGACAAACCAAACTGAATTCGGGGATGACAAGTCGGTAGCTTCACTTACAAATCATTCTGCGGAATTCTTCTTCTTCTTCTTCTTTTTTTTTTAAACTGCTCATACCACTGGAGAAGCAAATACCAGGTTAGACTTCAGAAAATTATTGCCAAATAAAGCAGAAAATACTAGGCCAGATGAACCATCAAGCCCACCTCGGTATTGAGGAGCTTCGTACAGTGTTAGAAGGTTCTAGCAGTTTCAAGCATTGTTCCTAGGAGAGGCCAAATGGTACGTTACGAGTTTGAAAAGACAGCGGTGTCTTGCAGCTTTTGACTTGACAAGAGAAAACTAATTTGGAACTCGCAGGAACAAAAATGGGGATTTAAGGGTGACAGACGATTATTCTGGGCTGACCCAGCCAAGGCTCAGAAGACGAAGAGGAGGGGGAGCGCGGGAAGTATTATACCGAGCCCTTTCCTTCATCCATACCCTGGGCTGTTATGTGTCGCTCCAAGTGAACCACAAAATAAACACGAGATCGCCATGCTTCCGGTACCCCATGGTACAGGGTGGCTCTGCCTGGTGAGGCCACATCATACGCCCCAGTATCCTTACAGACGGATTTACGTACATGGATACGAGAGACTTTGACATGTTCTAACAGAAGACTATCTTCATTGGCCAGCAGAAGGAACGACACCATTGAAATGGAAACTTAAAAACCCCAGTGGAGCATTTCCAATGGAGACATCGCTTCTTATGCATAGAAACCAGTATTTTGGGACCTTTGATGTTTTCCCTCTGTGTTTCCAAGGTGAGGAAAACCCTTGAACTTCAGAAAGATATCTCCTCCTCTTTCTCTCACTATTACAGATTCCTAGGCTAAAAAAAATTATTTACCAGCATCCAAGGAAGGATTCGAATGGATGTTCCACAGAACAATCCAACATTTCTGTTTGCTCATCAAACTTTTAAGCATCTCTGTAAATGTTTAAAGCGGGGGAGGAATCAAATGAAGCTGAATTCACTAGTAATTATAGCTCATTTCTCCACAAAAAGAGGTTTCCCGTGCTCTGTACCATGGCAGAGGCCTCAGATGGGGCACGAGCCCAAATTGTGTATCTAACTGTTTAAACTTGGTCTTTTTGGTTCCAATTTCTGGGCACCCACTGAGAATATGGAATCTGCCTTTCCAGAAATAACCTGGCTTTCGCTCTGATTAGATAATATATATCCACAACTGTCCGTGCTACATGGCTGCCATGGTGCTCACGCAACAGACCCGCAAAAACGGCTGCTACCTTTTGAAGAACTGGCCCTGTGGGTTTTCCCCCGCTATGCTTCCCTGCCTAGGCTTTCAGACAATGGGGTTACCAAACAGAGGAATCAAACAAATTTTCGGATGACCGAACCAAAGCCAAAGACTCGGTCGCCGCTTGCACTTGAACCTCACATAGCCTTTCCCGGACATGCATCAAATGGGAATTCTCCTAAAGAGGGTTGAAAAAAACCGAAACCAAATAACTTTGACACCTTAAGGGATTGTTACTTATCGTATTTTCTCTAAGCTGATGTCCTTTATGATTTTAATTAGGCATTCGGCACACGCCAAATCCTCCCGACTCTGGTACAAGTTACTAATATTGTGCTTTTCTTTGGGCACGGGGAAGAAATCCGGCTTCCCGGGTCAAATGCTGCTGTATTGCCACACGCTTGTTTGAGGGTGCCACTTAGTAACAGTTCTGACAACTGCCATTGGCTAAAAAAACACAGTTGAGAGAACCACAGATGTCTCAGCAAAGAAACTGGGGTGTTGTGGGTTTGGGTTTTTATTTGGACCCCCCGCCACCGAACAAAATCCTCATGTCAGGGCACTTTGCGGCTAGCCTGCCCCCGCCCCCACCCAAGGAAGCTCAGCTGCAGGACGAAGACTGGAGCACACAAACCAAGGGAAGGGGATCTGAAAAAAACGCTATCACGGTTTTAAAAGTACACGGCAGCCACATTCCCCGGCCGGCTTACCACCATGCAAGCAAGGGGCGTACGTCTGTCAAGCCCTACTGAGTGTTTCGTTGTCCTGCCTACCCTCTCGTTTCATGCCAACTTTATTTCTCTCTGTAATAAAGCAGGTAATATTTCAGCGGGTCGGGCAAAGGCAGGGTAAGCACCCTCTCTCTCAGCAAGTTTACGGGAGGGTCGGGCTTCAGTTCGGGGACAACCTTCTCTGCCTCCTCCCGGCTCTCCTCCTCCAGCTCCTCGCAGTTGTTGTCGTCGGAAGGATTGGAGATCCGGCTGGCAAAGACCTCTTTGTCCAAGAAGACGATGGTTTCCATGCGGCGCCGGCGGACACGCCTCCGCTTGAACCGCGGCGGGTTCCGGAGGCCATTTCCGTTCCGGCCGGCCGTCTCCTGGTGGATCAGCTTCTTAATGGTGCTGCGGATGGCAATCCGTGCCAGGTCTTGGAGGCTGCGGACCATCACCGGTGCTGAAAAAGGCAGACGAAGAAGATGGAAGGGTGGGGTGGGGGATCGTGGCAGACACAAGTATTGTTATGGTTGTCTTGATTCGAAACGACAGCCTGCGGGTCTTTAGATCGGGGGGCACCCTGGCACCGGCCAACACCCAGGCACCGGGCAACACCTTTCCTGGCGCCCACCAAGTGTTTTTAGAAAGTGGGAGGGGATAGGTGGGGCTTTTACCCAGCATGGCTTTTGATTGGCCACTGGTGATCTGATTGGCTGTGCAGATTTTTTAAAAAATGCTGCTTTGGTGGCAGCTGCCAAAAATAATACCCTGTATGGTTCCACCGTGTATTTTATTTATTTATTCTTATTTTATTTACATCCTATCTTTTTCTCCAATGGGGACCCAAAGCAGCTTATGTCATTCTCTTCTCCTCTGTTTTATCCTCACAACAACCCTGTGAGGTAGGCTAAACAGAGTGTGTGACTGGTCCTCCATCCTGTCTAACACTGCGTGGCCTGGGACTGACACACCTGAGGGACTGCCTCTCCTCATATGTGCCCCAGAGAGCCTTGTGCTCTGCTGGTCAAGATCTGCTGGTTGTCCCCGGCCCAAGGGATGTCTGCTTAGCCTTGGCCAGGGCTTTATTTGTCCTGGCCCCGGCCTGGTGGAACATGCTTCTGTCACACACTGACCCACCAATTCCTCTGGAGGGCCAACAGCAGGGCACAGAGGCCGAGGCCTTCACAGGAACATCAGAAGAGCCCTGCTGGATCAGACCAGTGAGGGTCCATCTAGTCCAGCATCCTGTCTCGCACAGCGGCCAATCACTTCCTCTGGAGGGCCAACAACAGGGCATAAAGACTAAGGTCTTCTCCTAATGTTGCCTCCTCATATTCAGAGGCTGACTGCCTCTGAACATGGAGATTCTTTTTAGTCACCATGGCTAGTAGCCACTGATAGGTTTCTTTTATTTTGCTATTTTTATGATTTATTGCTGTAAGCCACCTTGTGATTTTTTTTAAAAAAGTGAAAGCAAGAAATGGAAATCTGATTAAATCAAAAGAACAATATCCACTGTGCAATTAAAGTGTGCTAACTGATTTGAAAGTAGAGACTGTAGGCTGCTGGATGGGAACAATGGGTCTGTGAACTACACGTACGGCAAGTCCCAAAACTGCAGGTACTGTTGAATAATACACAGCATCTTTTACATTCTAAATGTACATTGATTGATTGATAGATTGATTAAATTTCTACCCCGCCCTCCCAGCTGAGGCTGGCTCAGGGCGGCTTACAAACAGCATAAAATCATCACACCAACTAAAAGAATGTAAAAGATGCTGTGTATTATTCAACAATACTGTAGCTGGAAACGAGGCAACACGGCCACTGGAAGCTGGCGGGGCCGTTAAGTGACTACACAAGTGGCGAGACTAGAGATGTGAAGGCCCGGAAAAAAACGGAAAAATTTGGGAAAAAATGTTTTTTCCCTTTCCCCCCCCCCCAAGCCTTTTTTGTCCCCCCCCCCATTGGAAAAACTGAAAAAAGAAGAAAAAATTGATTATGTAACGTTTTATTTTAACATGATGAATAAAATATTTTAAAACAAGGTGTTCAAATATTTTCCAAACCATTTCTGAAATATATATATATGGTATCAGATTGATCTAATTTCTGTGCACTGAGGACAAGCAAGTCCTAGGTTACAAACTGAACTCTCCAATGCAAGAACAAGATGCATTTCTTCCTTTAGGAGGTGCTGTTATCACGAGAAAAGAAAAAGGTTTCAGTTTTGTTTTTGCATGTGGGTGGGTATTCTGTTTGTAATAATTGTTTGGATACACTATATTTTTAATATGCTAGTTGTGATAATTTCATGCCAAGTAAAAATGTCCATAGTCATATTTTATATTCCTAAAGTATAGGAAAAGAAAAAAGAAGTGCTAATGTAGCATTTTTTCAATTTTCCCGAAAATTTCCGTTTCCCCCCGAAAAAAACCGGGGGGACGGTTTTTTTTCCGTGCTTCAAAATTTCTGGAAATTTTACATCTCTAGGCGAGATGAGTTTTTCGAAGAGGAATTCTAAACACTTCTATCTGGACTTTTCACTGTCTGAGGAATTTGACTATTTCTGAAGGTGGATTCATAGGACTGTTTGTGTATTTGGACCATGTATTTTTGAGTTTCTGACTGTCCTATTGTACTTTGGATAAACTACACTATTTATACAGGTTCAGATTATCATACTCATTGACCGTTGAATATATATTTTTCCTTATTTATGTGCTGTTTGATCTTTTGTATAGCTTACTCCCTTCCGCGTTTCTCTGCTGTTTTGAGTCCCAAAACTGTGGCAACGCTCAGTTGGAGAAACATTACCAAAAGGAGCGGCAGACTTACGCAGGTGGACCAGTTTCGATTTCCCCGAATCGGCGTGGTTGGGCTGGATCAGCGGGGCAAAGGAAACGGCCAGGATCTTCTTGGTCTCCCAGGCGGCAGGGCCAGTTCGAGTGATCTTAGTCAGCTGCGTTGGAACATGAAAACTCAAAATGAAGCCACACAAGCGGTAACAGACTACCGGCCCTGAGGGCAGAGAGGCCGAGGCCTTCATACGAAGCCACCTTAGCCTCTTTTAGGGATTAATTTACAGGAGTAGGCTCTGCTATCCTGGATGGATGTGAACAGATTTGCAGAATCAAGGGTAAGACAGACATTATCGATTTTATTGTCCCTATCCTATTCCAAGAAGAAGAGGAGGAGGAGGAGGAGGAGAGGGAGGAGATTGGATTTATACCCCGCCCTTCACTACCCAAAGGAGTCTCAGAGCGGCTCACAATCCCTTTCCCACCTCCTCCCCACAACAGACACCCTATGAGGTAGGTGGGGCTGAGAGAGCTCTCTTGAGAACTGCCCTTGAGAGAACAGCTCTGAGAGAACTTGTGACTGACCCAAGGTCACACCAGCAGCTGCATGTGGAGGAGTGGGCAATCAAATCCGATTCTCCCAGATTAGCGTCCAGGCTCTTAACCACTACACCAAACTATAGAAGAAGAAGAAGAGATTGGATTTATACCCCCACCCTTCACTACCCAAAGGTGTCTCAGAGCAGCTTACAAACTCCTTTCCCTTCCCCTCCCCACAACAGACACCCGGTGAGGTAGGTGGGGCTGAGAGAGCTCTTGACAGAAACTGCTCTTTTTCAAGAACAGCTGTGCCAGAGCTACGGCTTGCCCAAGGTCATCCAGCCAGGTGCAAGTGGAGGAGTGGGGAATCAAACCCGGTTCTCCCAGATTAGAGTCTGCACACTTAACCACTACACCAAACTGGCTCTCTTGTAGTTTTCCAGACAAGGCTGCCAAAGGCATTTCCAACCAGTGTCGTAAAGAAACCTCTTTTTTTCAGCACCCCTCCAAGTCAAAAACGTAAGCAAATAGAAATATCAGCAGGCAAGGTTTGTTCTTGCCCTAAATGGGAGCCACAACCACTCCGGGGAACAGAGGGGGAACCCCACGGCCAAGTTCCGTATGATCACCTGAAGCCCAACGTTAACTGCTCAAGAGTGTTAAATGACCAGCAGGGTGGAACCATAATGTGGGAAAACAGCACAGAAATTATGCCTGATGTAGAAAAAGTTACACAGTGAAGATCGCCAGCGCAATAAGACGGAAACTGCTGAGCGGTGCTTCAGTCTGCAGTTTTGGCAACAGAGTAGCCCACTCGTAGGCTATAACCAAAGACATTTTGCACGCTGTTTCGATCAGTTCGTCTAAAGGCGTGACTTGACCAAGGCCGCAAATGAAGGTCTCTTGAAGTGAGTGATGACAGTCCGGCAAAGGTTGTTCTAAGCCAGTGTATTAATGAAAAATGCTTACAGTTTCACAGTCTGGGGGGCTTCAAGAAGATGAATGGTGAGACATAAGAAAAACAGGTTGCTTACCTGTAACTGGTGATCTTCGAGTGGTCATCTGTGCATTCACACCCATGGGATCTAGTGCGCACGCATTGGATCGATCGGCATTGTAGCAAGCTCTTTAACGGATTTTCGCGCCCAGACCTCAGGCATGCGCAGTAACCCCACCGCGCATGCCCAGAGGGGAGGGCGCAGACATCCTGCCAGTTCCTTCAAACCGCCGCAAATCAACCCCTATTGAAAATGTAGACGCTGACAGCAGCGGGGAAGGAGGGCGGGTGGTGTGAATGCACAGATGACCACTCGAAGATCACCAGTTACAGGTAAGCAACCTGTTTATCTTCGACGTGGTCTCTTTGCTTCACACCCATCGGAGATTAGCGAGCAGTGGCCTACTTGGAGGAGGGTGCTGGCAGGTCCTTACTGCGTACCTGAAGACAAAATGTGACATCCCATGTTGGTACTAGAGTTCTTACGGACGTC